AACTTGGTTACCGAAAGGAAGAACTACAAAAACACGAAGCCACCAGCAGGAGCCAGCCGCACATTTGTGGTTTCAGTTAATAGATCTCGTGTTTACAAGAAAACTATTGAAATCACCACGGATGCAGCTATAGCTACCTGCGTGACATCCGGGTCCAGGAAATGATACAAATAAGAAGGTTATTGAGTGTCTTGATATAAATACAGAAGTTAATTGATAGACATAGCATTCATGAAGGTGGCAAACCACAGACACGTGTTTCGGGCTTTTGTCCCATCATCAGTATGGTGGAGCCAAGTGTAAGGATGGGCAACACTTGGTTACCAAAAGGAAGAACTACAAATGCACGGAGCCACCAGCAGGAGCCAGCCGCACATTTGTGGTTTCAGTGAATAGATACGTGTTTCGATCACCAAGTGATCATCTTCAAGAGGAAATTTAATCGAGGTGTTGAAATAACGGTTTGGTGTTTTTATAACATATTCATTACTACAACTACAATAGTAATATTCATTACTACAACAAAGGTTCCAAACAGTGCATCACAAGTACCGTTTTTTGTTTATTCATAAAAAAATATGTTTGTATTTACTGGTATGTTGATACACAAACTATATAAATATTATTATTTCTGTGGAATCACTCTGTATAATGAGTGGTCGTTTATTTTCACAATTGTTATAGATATGTTTACAATTGTTTGCCACACTTTCATTACATTCCATTACATTTTGCGTATCGGAAAACAGTTTTTTCCTACAAATGTTTACCGAGACGGTTTCAACGAAATTTCACTAAAAATATTATGAATTTCTCGGATTATTAAACATTCCGAAACGTCTCCGCATTTCTGCCAAAGCTTAAAAAATATTTTGTTAGGACATATGCCCGTGCCTCATGTGTCAATACAAAAAAAAATCTGGATCAAGTAGGTTACGCTAACTAAGCCAACTTTGACGTCAATGAAGTGATGCAACTTAGTAACGGTGACGTGAAAGACACACCACAAATTAAAAACAGCAGTTTTGCAATTTGGCTGTGGATCTCCTGGGAAGAGATGGGAGGTACTTTGAAATAGGACAGAGAAAATCGAAAAATGATTGTTTTTGTCATATTGACCTCCTAATTTTCATGATATGATGTTATTCAGTATAACCCAAAATGCATGGATATCCTGGTGTTTCAATTAATTCGATTTTGTTTTGTAATCATTTGGATAATTTGGTGACCAGAAAAGGATCGCTCAAATAGGACATTACAATAGCAATAACACGTTTATATTAAAAAAGTAAATACATTTTACTGAATGCTGATGCCACAAAACAAACATGCAATCTATCCTTATATGGGGGTAATTTATTCTTTTGACCAAGGCATTCACATCGAAATGTTTTGATCAAACTTTAAATTTCTGTCTTTATTTTTATGTTGATACTGCCACCAATGAGAAAAATCTATGTCACCCCTTTCGAAGGATAGTTACCCTTGTTTGTTTTCCATAATATTTTGCCGACTAATGCCTCCCTAATGAAATTTTTTGATCAAACTTCAGTCGACTTGGTATTATTTCCACCAATGGAAAAATTCAAAACTTCTTCTTTTGGAGGGTAATTTGATAGCGTATTATGGTAATGGTAAAGTATCAAGGGAGAATAAATTATGGAGTTTGATCAAAATATTTCGATTGGTACCCCTTAGCAAAATATAAAAAAATTTCAAGAGTAAACTAACCCTCGAACGTAGTAGATTTAACTTTTCCCATCAGTGACAATGATAATATGAAAAGAAAGATATTAATCTGAAGTTTGATCGAAATATTCCAATGAGAAAGCATTGGCCAGTAAATTATTTTGAACAATTATAAGAGTGAAATACCCCCATATGAGGTTAGATTGCGAAAGAAACTTTAAAGCACCACTGTCAAAAAATTCAAAATACTGAATATGTATGGAATTATTCCATTTTATTTATCACATTCACTGTCTCCAAGATGAAGAGGACCATGGTGGCTATTTTAAAGTTTGTTAGAGGACGATTCGTAATTAAGTATAATCCTTTCAATTGTTGTAGAGAATAAAATGGATGATGGTTTCTCGGAGACGAAACCTAGGATTAAAAATTCTGTAAACGCCATTTGAAAAGTGTTTTTTTTTTGGTTTCCAAATATCTTTCTGAATAACGCCAGAAGAAAATGAAACGAAATTGGCAAATTTCGGTATTTTTCGAATGTCTCTGGAACTAATCGAAATTTTCTGAATTTCGAAAAGACATTTGAAGATACAACTTTCTTCTGATTCAAATGACTTTTTATTTTTCATTTGCATTTTAGCCATCCTAATTTTGGACACACTGTATAATTCTTAATATATTGTTTCACATATGGAAATTTCAAAGGAGTTCTTTCAGAAAATATGGCCTTTTATGGATATATACCAAGCGATTCAGCTGGAAGAGGGATTCTGTTTCATTGAGTTGTTTCAGAAGTTCTGACCGTTTTCATGAGTCTACCTGAAACTGTAATATCTCAGTGAATAATCATCGAAATAAGCGCCATTTGAATCAGTGCACTTCGTAATGCTAGTGAATTGACTTCGTCGGCATAAATATTTTGTGCTCGAGATTCGATGAAGTCGACGAATGTCGTTTTTGCCTGCACCTGATTGGCGGATTTTCTACCGATGAGAAAGTTATGTAAGTGCTTGAGAAGATGGTAGTCGGTTGACAAGAGATGTGGAGAGTATGGTGGGTGAGGAAAAACTTCGATTCTCAATTTGTTGAATTTTGTGGTGATTTGTGAAACGAGCGGCCGGGCGTTATCGTGAAGCAGGATCTGACCTCTTTTGTTGACCAGTGTCGGATGCTACTGATGCAATTTTTGGTGCATTTTCTCGATTTCGACTGTCCCGATCGTCTGTTGTTGTCGTAGAGGTCATTTTTCATCGCACGTGACGATCCGATCCGAAAAGGATCGTTTTGATAGCAGAAGCAAAGAAGAGCAGAGCGGAAAGGTGACAATTTCTGTCAACCGTTCAAATCGTAGGGAACCCACTTTTCGATATTTTTGACTTCTCCAATACGTTTCAAACAATCAAAAACTGCACGGGTGCTGACCCAGTTCTTCCGCCCTCCCAGGCACGGTTTGTGATGGGTCAGTCTCCACCATTACTGTGAGGTTCTCCTTCGGAGCTGAAATCACATGAACAAAATTTCGCAAACCAACGTTGAACATCGCATTCATTAACACTATCATTGCCGAATGCCTGGTTGATTTTTCGGACTGGCAGCGCTTTGGTTCATTTTGAATTCATTGAGAAATATTGTCCTGAAATCGTTCAACAACATCAGCATCAGAATTCACTTCATTTTTGATGCACCGCTCCCGAAATGCATTTTCATTTTCATTCCCAACAATAAACGAAAAACTATGATCATATTTTGAATTTTTCATTGATATAGTTTCTGTTGTCCTAACTTGATTAGCGGTAAAACTCTTGAATTCCACAGCCAGTGAAATATCGACAAGTTATTTGGGCGAGTGAAATAGTCACTAGACACCGTGAAACCCATTCAACATATTGATTTTTGAATGAATAAAAATGAAACATTCCCATAAGAAGAATTTTTTTAGTCCTTTTGGAAGACTTAGCAATTATCTCGAGCAGTTCGGGTATCAAGTTTTCGAAAAGTAGTTTTAATATTCTTATACAAGAATAAACTGATTTATAGTTATTCACAATCAGTTAACAATTGGCGTCACCTATAAAAAGAAACCTAATGCAACGTTTGGGTATAGTATTTTCAGAGGCTTTTGGTTAGAGGTTAGAGTCTCTTGAGTATCAACAATAATGCTTCAGTTTCTGTTGAATAACCAGCTAGTGGTTCCATCATTGAGTTTCAGAATGTCACTTTATAATTTTGTCATTTGAGCCAGATTTTTCTTGATTAGTAATTCTGCCTAAACCTAGTTATCGAAAAGTTCGAACTTGAGTTACTCTTTGCTTATCAGTTGAATGAACTTTTTGAGGCGTAATATGTAGGTCGCCTGTAAGGTCACCTTCATTCCATAATTTGAGTGACAAAATTTTAAATTTTATTGTTTGCACTAGCAAAAATGCAACAAAACCTCGTACCATGTTTCCCGCGATTTAGCTATCTTTGAACGATTTGAAATATTCTGAAATATTATCTTTTTGATATTCATGATTTTTCCATTATTTTCATTGAGGATTCTTCAATATCAGGTGAGTTTTCATCCTCAAAAATAGTTATTTCAGTTATTTTTTTATTCGAATCTTTGCATTATTTATAAGATGTTTTTTAACCTAGAGAAAGAACTAGTTCTTTTTCTATGTTTTTCATCCTCATACAGAGAGTGGGAAATTTTCGAGCAAAATCAAAAAGTTCAATTGATGAGATTAGTTTTTGAGAAAGAAAGGTTATGACTTCATACTTTTCCATCTTTGTACAAAAAATGTGAGGATCTTCCGAAGGGAGAAAAAAAAACAAAAAATTTCGAAATTAAATTTTTAAAAGATGTGTAGATCATACATGGAAGTTACTTTCAGATGAGGAAAAGCCCTCCCTAAACAACTACTCTCATATAAACATTGAATTTCGCAAAAAATACTTTCGAAACAATTACTTCTATATGAACATTGAATTGTACATTTTTTTTATGAAAATGGAGAAGTAAAAAGCCAAAACATTTCACTCCCCTCTGAATTTCCCACAGAATAGTAGAAAGCCAGTTTTTTCCCAGAAACTTTTGTTCATTAAAACTAGTTGGTTTTATGAAATAGTTCATTTTCAGACTTTACAGAAAGTCACATCGTAAAATGCCACCAGAAATTATTTTCTCTCCTGCCTACACATTCGACAGAGAGAATAATTTATTTTCCTCAGATTCCCGATTCCGTTTCACCTTTTCCACTGGAGTGTTATTTCGAATTCACTGAACCAATCGGAAGCGACTCATTCACATGACCGATTTCAATTTTCAGAAGGGCTCCTGCGAAAACCTGCTACACAACAGGATGGTGGGCAGCGTGCCCGGCCTCCTAGATAAGCTGTCATGCAGCGGCTCTACCGCCGATCTTCCAGTGGCTGCGGCTCTAGAAGAAGAGGCGGCCGTTCCCAATATCCTCACGGAGTGTTTCAGGCATTTGGAACAGCATGGATTGCACACGTTAGGCATATTCAGAGTCAGCACGTCGAAGAAGAGAATTCGGCAGGTATGTTAATGAAAAAAGACATGAATGGTCATGAAGTTGATTCAAACCCAAGTTATTTTCTAACCGCAATTTATTGTAAATGATACATTCCAATCAGTGGATGATATTGAGAACGAATCTTCCTGATAACGCTACATTATCAGCATTTTTCAACCAAAATCTATATCCTAGTATTTCGTCAATTGGAACAATTGAACTGGTTGATGGTTTTTTACATGAAAAAATTAATTCAGAAGTGGAACACGGAATTTTGGATCAGCTTATATTTTGGCTCAAGACTAGTTCAATTCAATGACGTGTTTTTATTCTTCCAGCTAATGGGAAAACAGTGAGTTCTTTGCTAGCTGAAATTTTCATGCATGACAGAGAATGAAATCCAAAATTATTCAATGTTTTGATTGATATCCGGGTTTTGCGTGGTCTTCTTTGCTTATAATCTCCAAACGTTTCAACTGCAACTACAGCAGTCATCTTCATTCATCATCAACTGAAACGTCATTTGACACGTCAAGAAGAGTATTTCGATAATTTTTTCTGAATAACTACGGAAACGTATATCCATCGTCAAACAACGATAGTAACCGTCATAAGGCATTGATTTGCTTGCAAAATTTCCTAATAAAAACAATGATGATATAAGTTGGATCACCAAATCTCTCGCATCCAAATAATAATGCCACGTATTTGGTTCGAAGGGATGAATTCCCGGAGGAATTGTCAAGGGTAGATTATTAAGCGTTGAGAAGTAATCAATTACTCAAACGTTCATTATCTAATAAGCGGGATAAACAAATTTCCTTATTCATTGACGTGAATCAACAAAAACGTTCGAACGAAATGAACCTTATTATCGGTGACAGTTCTCCAATGACTCTTTTGGAACGTTAAGAATTAGTAAGAACATTGTGAAAAATAATTTATTCCAAAGACACACGACATGATTGAATTTCGTCCAGACCATGAATAAAATGTGTTTAGACTCAACGAATTGGAAGCTTGCAAAACTTTGAAAAACTACGGGATAATAACATATTTAGGTGTGATTGAATAGATTAAGATTGTCATTATGAATGACGCAAGTTAGTTATGATCATTATTTTCTATATATGAAGATGGAGATTTATGTTGGATCAATATTTTTTTTGTTTGTTTTCTGCAATGAATCAGTTTTATTTGATTTTTATTGTCGAATTTCATCAATTGAATTCTACAAATACTTTGTTTTGGAATAGGCTGTTTTGGTATCCACTTATATGACAACTTTTTTGTCTTAGAAACGGTGGTACGTTCACAATGAGGCAGTATACAATATTTGTAAATAAATATTCTCCCAACTTATCTCTGCTAAGAAACAGCAAAGTCAAACAACTTCAATCGTTTTCATATCCAATGACTCAAAATTGAAACTCACTCGAAAACGACATAACAATTCTAACCAACGTAACGGTATAAGTATTATAACTCCAAAAATAAATGACATATTGCACCCTGTTTACAAATTTTTGAAAACTATAATATGAATCTAAATTCCGGAATAGTTTTGTTACCATTTTCATTTGTAATCAACGTTACTGCTGTTCATCCATTTCCAAACTACTATAATTATTATTATTAGTTTGAAAATATCCTTATAGGACTAAACTGCAGTAACGTAATGATGATTTCCTACCACGTAGTAACAACTACATCCATCAACTTATTGTTTTATTTAAGCTTCGAGAAGACTTTGATTGTGGAAAAGAAACCGTGTTAGAAGATGACCAATGTCCACATGACGTAGCTACTTTACTGAAGGAGTACCTCAGGGATCTACCCGACCCCCTTCTTTGCAGAGACCTTTATCAAGCGTTCGTCCAAACACAAAGTAAGTAGATCACTTTTATTTATCTAATACTACATAGGCTGAAAAGTCTCGGGCCTAATACATAGATGGCGCCAGTTTTATTGCATTCACCGCTTTTTCAGTCAATACTTATCTCAAAAAGAAAGCTGTTGAAATTTCATGATATTCCTCTCATAAGTTTGGGAGTTTATTTTGCAGACTTTTCAACCTATCTTACAAGAAAGGGGTTTTCCCTTCTTGTTGGAAGATTGCTCGTGTTCAGCCTATTCTCAAAAAGGGCAAGAAAACTTTTCCAAATGACTATAGACCAGTCACTTCGCTTTCAGTGATATCAAACATCATGGAGAAAGCCGTAAACCAGCATATTCCCAAATATTTGGAAGGCTTCAACATTTTGAGCGATCATCAATATAACTTTCGGAAACAAAGATCAACAGGCGACATTCTATCGTATGTCACCCATATTTGAAATAACGCAATCGAGAAACATGGAGAATCAAGAGCTGTTGCGTTTCATATTTCTGAGGCCTTTGACCGTGTGTGGCATGAGGATTTGCTGGCCAAACTTCGACGCTATGGCTTGTCGAATCAATTTTGCGTATGCCTCTTCAGCTTTCTGAGTGAACGTTCCCTGCAAGTGGCTGCCCATGGATATCTCTCGAATACTTTCACCATCAACGCTGGTGTTCACCAGGGGTCCACATTGTCTCCAACCCTCTTTTTATTGTATATCAACGACTTATTGGAAAAAACCAAGAATCAAATATATTGCTGTGCTGACGACAGTACACTTATCTCGTCATTATATTTGGATCCCGGGACATCGGCTACGGAAGCATATCTTCACCAGCAGCAGAAGGTGGTATATCTTAATGAGGATCTAGAAGTAATTTCGAATTGGGGTGAAAATAACCAGGTTCAATCCAATGCCACCAAAACCCAGGCATTGGTTTTGTCCAAGAAGATAAATGTATCCGAACCTGATATGATAATGTCAGGTCAGACAATTACGCCTTCTGCTTCGATAAGTTTGTTAGGAGTTGAAATGGACACCAATATGTCTTAGCATCGTCATGTCGCTGGAATTGGAGAGGCTGCTTCTCAAAAGCTTGAAACACTGTTCCGAACCAGAAAACTATACACACCTCAGCAACTTTTGATGCTTCATAAAGCTTAGATCAGACCTTCTTTGGAGTATTGTTTTTATGTATGGTGCTTCGCCTCCAAACATACCCTGAAGAACATTGAAGAAAGGTTGGAGATTTATCTCTGTTCTATAGATACTTTCACGGAAAGTGTTCAAGTGACGTGGCACATTTGATTCCGCCAAGAGCAGTATATATCAGATATACGCGACGGACTGTGGCTGTTCATCGTCATGAGGTTAAACTCAGTACACCTCTAACTTTACTGTTTAAGAACTCTTTTATTTGGAGAACGGCGTTTATGTGAAAGAAACTTCCTGAGAACATTTTTCCAAATGGACTCAATCTTCAGGGATTCAAATCCAATGTGAATCACTACTTTCGCCCAGGTACCGCTTCAGGAGCGCCTTAAGGATTGTTTTGAACTGCATGTGTTTTGTCCTTAAAAAAAATTCGAGGCTTATTTTGAGGCAAAAGATAAATCGTTCTACAAAAGTGATATTGAAATGTTAGAGCGATGTTGGAGTGATTGTATGGCTCTTGATGGAGATTACGAGATTACGATGATAAATAAAGCCAATTCTGAACAAAAAACGAGTCTTTTTTCTCAAGCCCGGGACTTTTCAGCCTATGTGTTAGTGACCCAATATGACGATTTGACTTCCTTCAGTAACTGAGCTTGATAAATTTTTTTTGGAACTTTTTGGGAAAAGTATTAGAATTCCAGAAAAAAAGATAGTTTTAACTTCGTTGCTGAAATTCGATAACTTTACTTACCATATTAAATATAAATATTGCTGAATGTGATGTTCGTTATTTTCAATAGGGATACGTAACAGAAGACTGCAATTTGAGGCCCTTCAACATTTAGTTCAACTTCTTCCTCCTGCCAATAGGGATACACTGCATGCTCTCCTCAGCTTTTTGTCCGTCGTAGCGAAGAATGCAGAAGATAGTAACGATGAATCAGGTAAGTCATAATTAAATTCTGTTTTCAATGTTTTATTTGGAGAAAACAGAATAAATGTATGAAATTGAATGAAATCTTTGACCAAATTTTTATTTCATTGAAATAGTCAACATCATTTTTCATCACTGTTCATTCAAATCAATCTTTTCTCCAATTCCAATTCAACCGATATCAGCTTTGCTACAGTCATAATCTGTTCAAATACTTTTTAAGCTTTTCATTTTCGTGTATATTTCGAGTTGGTCAATTCCTGGATTCATACACATAACAAACCATGAAAAAGTGTATACCTTCTTATCAGCAAAATCAATAGTCACCCCATACATTCTATTACTTTCAGGTGAAGCTCTCTCTGGAAACAAAATGGACGCTAAAAACTTGGCGACTGTCTTTGCCCCAAATATTTTACACTGCATAAAACCAGGGGCAAAAGAGAGCGCTGACAAACCAGAAGATCGGATAGATATAATCAACGTAACTCGCACCCTTATAGAACAATATAGAGCAATGTTCACCATATCTGCAGATCTGCTGGATGAAGTGTACCTGCACATGATGGACACTCATCCAGAGGCTCTGGACCAGCTGCTCAATAAGAAGGATGGGCTGGCTGGAGCAGACGAGTGAGTATCTTTGATGGAACTGTTATGACTATGCATTCTTTGAATCATAAATAATTTTGATAGCGTATTGAAAAAAACTTTGTAAAGTCATGAACCATGAACTCAATCGAAAAAATCACCTAGTTTTATTCATATACTTAAGCTTTTAGCGAATTTTTTGGTAAACTTCTTTCTTACTCCTGTTATGATAAACGAAGTGAGAGACATTATCAGATCAATGTATGGACTATAATGAAATAGATAGTAATTGTATCGAAGCTGTCGTCGACAGAATAATTGAACTTTCACACTTTGAATTAATGTATATAAGAACATGGGCCTGCACGGCAGGTATCATGATTGAAGAAAACAAAATCCAGACTGGTGTCTCAGCAACGATTGGCTGTCGTTAGACTTCGAGATAAAACTATCGTCAATTCAATTTATGTTTTACATTTCTTCGTCAATTTTTTAAATGTCTGAAACAAAATTTCTTCAAATATAATAATAATTTTTACCTGCATAACTCAGGTCTTCCTATGGGCTCACCATTAAGTTCCTTTCTGGCAGATATTTTCATGGACACACTAGAAAACACCCGTATTGTTAATAACCCCCTTTCATGGAAACATATTGTGTTTTGGTTCAGAAATGTTGACGTACTGGTTGGTTTTGATGGTTCAAACTTTCTCAATAGTCTGCATAACAAAATCAAGTTCACAGTAGAAATCTAACAAAACAAGAAGCTCAACTTCTTAGATTTAATATTTTAAGAGTTAATAATGGTTTTCAATACTATATCTACCGGAAAAACACGTTCACAGACTGTACAATTCCCTTTGACTCTTTCAGTCCGTTCTCACATAAGTTATCCGCGTTTTAGATCAATGATGCACAGAGCTTTCGAAATCCCTTTACCGGAAAATAATTTACAAGGTGAAATAAAAATATTTAAACAAATTGCAGTGAACAATCAGGTACCAATTTCCCTAATATAAAAGATAATATTAGATGAAACTCACAAAACACTTATAAGTAAATTATACCCAAACTGACAAGAAGAAATTACAGTCAAGTACACTAGCATCAATTACTCAGGTAAACTTTCAGAAAATATTAAAAATTATTTCTCTGAATACAAAATATCAACAGCTTTCACAAGTAATAATAATTTAGGTAGAACCCTGTTTAATGCAAAACTCAAACGGGATAGAATGAAAAAATCAGGTTTACATAGAATAGAGTGTGGCGAATGCTCTGCAGTATATACAGGCCAAACCGGTAGAAATCACGACATAAGACTGCGTGAACACGTCTGTTTGGACAAAAATTCTGCAATGTACGATTCTTCAAGAATCAAACCACATAATAAATGAAGATAACCTAAAAATCCTACATATATGTAATAAAGGGAAAAAATGAATTTGTTGGAGGCTATGGAAATCAACAAATCAATTAAAAACAAGAAACATATACGCCTAAACGAGCAACCCGATTTTTGTAGATCTCCTCTCTTGAATTTATGAGTTTAATAACCCCGAGAATTTTCAGGGTGGAATTTTAAGTTGGCATCCTGATTCGCCCAACTACCTGTCTCTCAAATACTTGCCCTTGCAGCGTACCTGGAAATTCTAGTAAAACCGATATTTCAAAATTTCAGATTTCAGTTCAATACTTGATAATGGGGTCTAACCCGAAACCGGTCCTATAAATAAAATCTACCAGTGGTATTTAGACAAAAGTGTTTTTATTCATTTCATTTGAGTGATCATGAATTACCATAAAGTACACAAGTCATCAATCACACATATAAAAAAGGGAATTCATAACCATCGCCTCAATTTTAATTTAGTACCCAGTTCAGCTTCAAATCAGGAGTATTCTACTTCACAAATGCCCTTCCGTAGGTCGTAAGTAGCCTTGAGAGGAAAATAAGTAATACTATAGGTTCTTTCAGAAGTTTTACCCGTTCTCATGAGTCTACTTCGAACTGTTATATCTCCGAAATGAGCGTAATTTGAATCCAATTTTGCCAACGTAACACAATTAAGTTAATTCCGTTAGCATTACATTGAGTTTTCGGGATTAGATGAAGCCGGCGAAGGCTGTTTTTGCCTGGTTCTGATTGGCGAAGGTTTTACTGGTGAGAAAGTTGACGAAAGGTCTGGGGATGGTGATTTGAATCGTGGGGACGTTCGTTGTCTTGAAGCAGTATCGGACCACTGCTGTTGACCAGTGCCGGCTGCTGCATACATCTCGTCGATTTCCTCAGAAAAAGACTCTGCTGTAGTGGTTACATCAGTCGTTAACCACCATACAGTAACTATGGCCTTTTTTTGGTTAGTTTTCGCCTTTGGGAAGTGCTTGGGTGGCTCATCGATGTCCAACCACGTCTCCTGATATCGTATAGGATTCATTTTTCATCACACGTGACGATCCGATCCAAAAAAAGATCAATTTGGTTGTGCAAAAGCAAAGAAGAATGTGATATTTTTTGTCGATCGTTCAATATGAGTGGCATCCACTTTTGAAACTTTTTGACTTTTCCAATACGTCTTTAACCAGGGCTAACGCCCAGTTCTTCCGCCATCCCACACACCGTTTGTGATGGGTCAGTCTCCACCAAAGTCTTAGATCCTCGTCCTGGATTACTGTAGGACGACTACTTTGGAGCTCATCTTCGTAGCTGAAATCTCCGAAACGAAATTTCGCAAACCAATGCCGAAGAGTGCGTTCAATAACACTATCATTTTCAAATGTCTGTTTAATTTTTTGGACTGTTTCGGCAGCCCTTTGGTCCAATTTGAATTCGTAGAGAAAACATCAACAGCATCAATGTATAAATTACAAAATTTTCAGTATATACCACGACACATTAGAATCAATATTCATTGGAATATGGAGCTACAAAAATGCATGACAATAAAACGGAAAAAACTGTTGAAACAACACAATATTTCGATGTGTGAATTTCAACTGTAATTACTGTATTTCTCATGGAATTGTTTGGAAAATCATATAGTATCAGATGGATTGCTGTTGAATTGCTAGAATCGTATTTTAATCGGAAACAAGTTGTCTCTTATGCCATTTACTCATCTTCTAGCACTCGGGTCATGTTCTATATTTTATCTATCATGAATACCTCACATTGAAGACATTAGAAATACACTAGCGAGATGCATCTTTGTTTTCAGAAAACTCGGAGCTTCTTTGAACTTTGAGGAAATTCGAATATATAAGGTGATTTTTATCCTTCAGAAAAAGGTTATGAGAATAATTTGCTGTGAAAGACAGACAGTTGCATACCGTTATTTTTCGCTATATTGTAATAACTTCCTGAATCTAGATCTTTAAAATTATTTATAGGATGGTAAATGCAGAAAGACCTCCATTTGAAAACTTTTATGATACAGCTGCGACGTTATTTTTATAACCTGAATGAATTGAAACTTCATCTTCACAGAGGGTCTATATAAACACTCGCCTCTGATTTCAATTTCCTTGGTCTCTCAGTCTGAAAAAATGTCATCTAGTATCTTAGTATCCTGACAGAAAAAAATTGAATGTATCTATGTAGGAAAACATATTGTTTATCCAACGATTTTCATTAAGTATTGTATCTAACCTACACTGGTCAGATTTTATATCAAAGTAGGAAGATAAATATTTCGAAATTTCATTTATTGATACCTATGTATCTCTCCTCGATATAGTAATCCGACTCATTTTAGTTTCTTCTGCGATAATTCTCTATTTTATATTCAAAAATGTCATTTTTCATTTATTCCGAGGATTTTTCCTGTTTTTCTCAACTCGACCTCACAAAGATATCTACATCAAATGCCGTAATTGAAAGTATGAATGGCTAACATTGCATTGAATGGCTAACTGATGATAAGGGTGAAGGGTTTACATCTAGATATTCAGGTTTCGAATTGTCCATAACTTCATCATCATAAGCATAAGAGTCGGTTTATAATGCTGACTTGAATTAAACTTAATTACTCATACCGAAAAAACACAGGTAAAAATTTAATCAACAATCGACATTTTCTATAATCTCTAATTTTAAATAATTCTACTATCCCATTCCAGAGAATCCGTTGAAAACTAACACGCATATGTAAGTTGATATATTTATATGTCTCTATGAATTTTTATCTTGGAATGAATAAGTTCGAACATGCATCGTTCCAACTCATTCAACAACAATATTTTTTATTCAACCTGTAGGTCTGTGGATGAGCTAGACAGCGAGAGCAGTTCGGCTCCATGGACTCCAATAGCATTAACAGCGGATCCTCCCCTCGACAGTGTTTTCGATGGGAAAATGATCCCCTCGGAACAGAAGCGGACTTATTCCAGAGAGGAATGTCTCCACGAAACAGCAGCCACAGGTGGTCCAAACGTTGGCATGAGAATTAGGTGAGAAATGTAAAACACATACCAATTGAACTCTCAAGCAATAACATAATGTTAATGAAACAAGCCAAACGATAATTTTGGAAGTATATTACCTGATATCAACACAATTTTTGACCAATCTAATGATTTGTACTGCCAGTGTATAAAGATTTTTTATTGAATAAATCTATCTATCTATCTATCAAGGAATTGTTCTATAATGAACAAAATAGCTTGGAAAATGTACTCTGAAATGTACATCTGGTGTAGCAATGGAACGTGTCATATCATTATCATACATCAAATTCCAAAAAAATATCAAGTCAGGGAGATATCTTCATATGAACTCATTTCGTTGAGTGATTTCAAAAATCATAGTAGATAGTAATTTTAAGATGAATAGATAATGGCAATGAATTTTATATTACCGCAAACCTCAAGTTTGTTTTCTCATTGGTTTTTTTATTTTCAGGCACAAAGATAGAATACGCGAAAGAAGTACCAGAAGACGCCGAGAGAAAAACGAAGACGCCAGCCTCACCTCTTCGGCACTGACCATAATATCACGCCTTCGCGGCCAGAAGGATGAAGACTACCAGTACGGAAAAAACAGATCTTCTTCCCTGGAAAGCAACAGTAGCACTCACACAGACTCCGATATAACAAGAATTCTACAAAGGAATGATGGACTGAGCGAAAGGAGAAAGTCTTCTCCATACGTCCTCGACAATGGAGGAGTCATAACAGCGAGTTTGACTATACCTGTGCACACGCAGAACCAATGCTTGTCCTACAACGTGGACGATGATATTCCGTTCATCGAGGATGGAGAAAACGGAAGGCAGCATATGACGGTGGGGCTCGTAAGGACCCCTACGGTACCACCTAGGAGGCGGAATCTCTCAGTTGGAAGCGATTCCTCCATAACGTCCGCGGTACAGCCGATCACAGGATCGATTTCGTTGGTGCCCGGGTATGATTCAGCGGTGGGCTCCTCAGCAACGTACTCCAGCCCTATACAGAACACGCCGACTTCAATATCCAGCAGCGTCGGAGACGCTGGTGCTTATAGCTCCCCGCCATCATGGGCTTCGAGCCCCCCTACATCTCCCGACAGCACGAAGACTACCGCAAACTATATTCCGGACGAAGTACCGGCTCAGAAAACTCTGATGAAGATTGCGAAGAGTAGCGTAAAGGAGAACGTTGCCACAGTCCAGAAGGTTTCTTTCTCCTCCGTCCAAGAAGTGCAGCAAATCCGGGAAAGCAAGGACCATTCGAGAACGTATCAGAGAGAGGTTTCATTCACTAAGCAGAAGATGTCTACTCCCACTTCGGAGCCGCCCAGGTCCATTTTCGACCTGGGAAAGCCAGTAGACAGGGAGCCACGGTTCACGCCGAGCATCACCAATATAGGCAACGCTGTTATGCGGTCCAAGACCGCGGACTTCGAGAGAATTATCAAAGTGGACACAGCCACGAATAAGCCTAAATCTCCAACGTCGACGTCAGCGGTCGAACGAGAGAAAAAGAAGTACACCAAGAGAAGGTACACGGACTCCCGACACCAGACGAGGCACATCCCCGACGCCGAAGCCCTGGAAGCAGCGTCCGCGGAAGCGAAACGTGAGGATAAGACGAGTAGTTTGCAGAGCGGGCCAGTATACAAGAGGCGGGAGCTGATCTCGAGCGTCCCGACCAAGTGATGGATTCTTTACGATTGATCAATGTGTTCAGAACTATTGTACATAATAATGCAAGTGATAAGTGTCTAGTCTAGTCTCACCTAGTGTTTACTGTCCCAAAAAGTTGTTATTTATTTTTTAAGAATGCATGTCGAATACTGTCTTGATGTAGAGAATTAAACAATCAGTCAACACGAGTTTTACTTTAGTGTGCAAAGAAAATCAGTTCTACTGTACAAAAGAAATCTGCTTAAAATCTGTTTTTCCGTTAACCAGCTGTCGCACCCCTACGAATGACAACTCTTAAAAGTCGAAACTTGTGCGAACTGAAGAATAACGAGGTCTTACCTTTCAGCGTGTGATTATTTAAAAAGATAGTATGATAGATAAGAGACTATCATGTGATAGGTTTTGAAAATGAATTGCAGGAAGCTTCAATAAGTAAGGAAGCTTCAATAAGTAAGGGCTACGTTTCGTCAGTATTTCAGATTGTGAATATTTTGTTTCCTTCTTCCTCTCTGAACTCTTCAAATATGAATAGAACATGAACGTAACTGCAGATGATCTGCGAACAGCAGCTGCAAATTTGCCCGATTGAAAATAAATACAAAATATCTGATTACCAAGTTTTGGTCTGGGTTATCCCGAACATGTTGAGCCAGACGTTAAATAGACCTTCATTGACTTCTGAATCCCAAGAGAGTTCTTCCTGTGGAAGAGTTGTTCCTAATCAGACCAGTTCTCAACTACCTTGGGTTGATTGGCATATTATTCGCGTCACCTTGAAAAAACCATAAGAACGTTACTTTTTCATTTTTTGTTTATTATTCCTAACCGATATATTGCAGCCTGTTGTGCTCGATACTGATTTTTAGAGACGATACAAGTTTCTACAGAAATTATTCTATATGTTTTTTTCATGACAAGTAGCAAAAGTATAGATGTTCGTTTTCGTATTCCTACAAAAATGAGTGGGAAGATAATTGGTGTGGAATGAATGAAATGAAAAACATTGAATGACCTAATAACACGAATTTATCCTATTCTTTTATACTTCGCCCTTTAGACTTTTTTGAGACATGCATTTTGAAGGTGACTTCTTACAATTTTATCAAAAGCTATCCAAACAAGTGCAAGAGAGGCTTTAGATAAATTGCCATTTTATCTCTTCTCTGCATGTTGCTCCCTTACTCCTTTCTTATTTATCTTAAAAAAACATATGAAATTATTCTTGCACAAAAGTTTGTCCTTTCCAAGATTGAAAATAAAATAAAATTCAACTACTATGTTTCGTCTATTGGTTTTTAATTGGATTTTTCGAAACGTAAAAGAGTAGAGCGTAATTTCATCTTCTTACTTGAGCCGTTACACTCTCATCATCCCAACTAATATGTAAAATCATTACAATATGATTCAAAGAAGGGTTAAACTCTTGTGCCGACTGGATTATGAGCCTAGGGTCTCACAAAGGGTTGGAAACCCTTCTATTTTGCGGTCGGACCAAGGTTAACTACCTGCACCCTTCAAGCAAGTTGAGGTTCAAGGTATTTCTAAGGAAAAACATCCACTTTCTGTTTCATCAATCTTTGAAAATTGCAGGCATAACGTGTCTTTATGAGATTAATTCATTGAAAGATTGTAAGAAAAACTTAGTACTTGGAAATGAAATACATATTTCACAGATTGATGTGATCAGTATATTTTAGTTAAGGATGACAGTTAATGAGGTAATAATTATTATAGAAACACAGAATGTCGCAAATATTTTATCATGGAAAAAATTACGTAATTTCACGATTTGTAATGGCTAGTGAAATTACTTGGAAATCGAGCAACGCAAAACAGAATCACATTGAAATTTCAGGGTCTGACGTTTCATCTATAACTGCGGTTGACATTAATAAAACCGGTAAGATGACGACAAATAATTATTTTCATCATCACAGCTCCTACTACTTTTTCAGATCCAGAACACTTATTTGTTGAAGGTGGGTAAATGAATGAAACTCCTGAGTAATGATACATTTTATATTTGGTATCACAAATTTGATAATAAAATAAAGCCTGGATTCGATAATTTTGCAATTATAGAAACGTGTGATTAAAAATCTAATTACAGCTATTTACAAAAATTACAACCAAGTGCTGTGTCCCAAAAACACTAGAGAGTACATAATAAACGGGGATCAATAATGCTGAAGACATGTATCGAAATAAGGAAAAATAAATGCAATTCTCAACCAATTTTCACGACGTCCAAGACAATATAGTTTTTCAAACCTACAATAGGATGGTCCTTTCCTTTCCATGAACTCTTATATCCATATTCAAAATAGTCAAAAGAAGAAAAACACCTTACCGATATTAGGATGGAAAATGGTTTTGTAAAAAAAAATCAATAGATAGTTTCAAATGTGAAAACGCTACATTGTTTAGTATTAATTTCCAATAACTTCATCAATAGTGGTTATATTTGTCAATTAGTCATCAATTAGTCAATACCTTATTCCAACCAACAACAAAACCAAGATAGATTCTCCTCTCCTGGGGGAGTCTCTTCGTTCGTTCACAACAACAAAATATTTGTAACCAATACGAATATACCAGAGGTCGAGTAATTCAGGTGACCACGTCAAAAATTGCGAAGAAATCCCTATTATGCTAGCGACAAACCATCAACTAAAAGAGTGTGCTAGGCTACACGGTTGGTATTCCGAATAATCCAAGTATATAAACTGAAAATAAGTTATGTAGCTACTCTATATGAGTGTCATGAATATTTTGCAATATGTCACAGCAATGAAGTCAAACTCACATCTGATATGAAGAAATGATCGGAACAAAAACATTTAGAAACGACAAAGTTTTGTTTCGGCAAAAATGAGTTCAACTATTTCTTTTTGTTGTTAACAATGGGTATTATATCAACTCATTACAACTTTTGAGTGATGAAGCGAAAGAAAAAGAGCTCAAGAGCTTCGCAATTCAATTGCGATAATCAACACTACAAACAAATTTTGCTTACGATTGACTGAAATTCAAAATTGTTTTTGCTACTCCAATGCAAAAGTGTAGTATTTTTCCAGAATTGCATGGTTCAGACGCAATTTACGAAAATGAAAAAATTATAAACGAAATTTGATACTGAAAATAAAATGTTATCATTCATAGCAATCATATTACAGAAAGTTAGGAAAGTATAGAATTTCAGCCATGTAATTAATCGGTATACATCTGTTATCACGATGACCAAGATCAATCAGTTGAAGATGTTTCTCAGAATAACTTTCTTCTCCAATACTTAAGAATGACTGAATGTGAAGACGAGTAATAGAGAAGGTACATATATTTTGAATGATGTTTCAGTGGAATTGATCTCTAGATGTTCCTGAATGAATAGTGAAGATTAATGTAAAAATGCATTAACTAATCTTTGACAGTCCTCGCTAGTTTATGTTTTTGTACCATTCCCTTTCAGAAATTGGAAAAACACTAGGTTTCAGTTGGTAAAGATTTGCCTGAATTATGCAGAAGGTCTTATTACCTGATTCAAAACAAGATACCTACATCATCTAGAATTCAAACCCTGAAATGTTGGAAATGAAACCAAAATCAGTCCGAAGTTTTGAATTTTCAATATTGATTCTCTATATTGAATAACTGGTGGAGACAACGGTTTTTTTGACAAATAATATTCCAATGATACTTCAGTGAACTGAAATTGTCTGGTAACAGAAAATCATTGAACTCTGACATAAAATGTTATCACACGCGAATATCTTCTGCAGGCTCTCCATCAGTGCGAGGCAATTTTTTTTCGGACAGCATTCTATAAAACCATGACACTCCTACAATTTTTGACTGTGAAATATACATCTGATCCCAAAAGTTTCGAAACAACAATAGTGTTCTCCATTACAAGAAGGGATTGACTAGCCAATCGAAGTTTGGTTACATATTTCTAGCAACACTGTGTTGATCGAACTCATGAACTTCCCTTGTGGAAATAGAACGCATATACGTGGATGTTCTTTCTATCATTGGATGGCATTCAATGTCCGTTGTGGTATCAGATAAAAAAAAAAAAACTTTTGAACGCCGTAAATACTGGATGAGACGATATATTCTATTTGAAAAAGTCTTTGCGGCTGTTGATTCCCTTCCAATCTCAAGTTTCATTGTGAGGACGGTTCATCCCGATTCGTATGTCATAGCATAAAATCTGATAAAAACAATAACATAACATATCAATAATTTTCCGTTCTACGAACAGAATCAATAAAATATATAAATGTGTTAAACACAAAATCAAATAGCAACATTTTTTAATATTACGGACGGATTTCAACACAGTTCGAGTAACAATTAAAAAATATAGTGTATAAAGAAAATATTTCGAAAAATTGTATAATTATATCAAAACCATAATTTGTTCAAAACAATAAGAATATAAATATACCTAATTCTCAAACGATGAAAGCTTCTCAAGCGATTTTACTTTTCGAAAATGATGATAGTTTGTACTTTGTAAGTTGCTAAAAAGGCATATTCTTGAAGTACGGTTGTGATAAGTACTAACTGATATTATACAAAACACAAGAGTGTTCAATTGGAAAGTACCGTTTGAAGTGTTGAATTATTTGTACAAACCTATTCAAAACGTAAAATCTTTCACAAATACTTTGATAGTAGGATGAAGCAGAATCTAGATTGATTTTTTTTCAATCTTTTGGATATTCATAATATCTATTTGCATGTTGCAAATAAAGAAAAATAATTTTTTGTATTCATTTATATGAATTCATCACGAAAAATATTTACCACCTTCAAACATTTGCTCAGAAATAACGTTCATCATCAACTCATATTCCATTTCATGGAGTCGACATCCCTTTTATGTGCTTTGTCAACTGCTATAATTGTATAAGACATTGTATTAGCTGAGTCTGGAAGCCATTTCAGCTTGTAAAATAAAAGTGTTCGTTGTTTCGTAGGCTGCAATTATTTGTTTGAAGTGTGCCTTTTTTTGAACATCGCAACACAGAGAAAAATGTTATGCTCTAATTCACAATACAACTTAAAACTCTAACTGCTACAAAGATGAAGTATATTTATTCTATTATGCACTCTGAAGTGAACGCAAATGGTGCTGCATTAAAGTTGGTTCTGAAAGCAATGCTTTCAGAACCAACTCAATTTTCCTCTATATAACAAATTTATTTCCAGTTTTTGTATTCATTAGTGATTTTCTAACTTGAGAGTGAGCAATTTGTTGATTCTGTGATATTTCATTTTTGTCGTTTGTACTGCCAAATGTAACAGCAAATTTGTACTTTTTCTTATTTTACCGTAAACGTCATTCCAATTAGCTCTTTAAGGACCTTATTCCGAAGTATTTATTTCCACACACCGCAAACACACCGCATTGAACTCAATGCTCACTCTAGAAATAGTATTTTGTAGTAAAATCGTCAATTTGTTTTTGTGTGTATTGATATTTGTGTACAAGCATATCATAAGAAAAATAGGCTGCTTGTACTGTCGAATGTCAATGCAATGGCACCATTCAAATTTGTGTTTCATATAGTCAAACTTGAACTCCATACAAAAATTTTCAGCGTTTAAAATAAAATGTTATCTGGAGAAATTGATAATATCACTATTTTTGTGCAATCGCCTCACAGATTAGATAATGGTGCTGTCAAATGTCAATGCTAAGTTGTTGTTTGGCGTCATTCCGATTTGCGCTATAGATAGACAAACTTTGCGTTGCACTCAAAGCAAAATTTTTTTTTAGCACTTTTGTCTTGTAGCTTTCAGTGATCTAGAAATCATGCTTCCTTATTCAGTCGGAAGTATTTCATTTTTTGCACAGAGCAATGTAGAGTTGACGTTAGGCTTCTTTCTACTCATCGCTTCAAACAGTCAAACTTTGCATTGAATTTAATGCAGCACACTAGAATTGTCTGTGTGTTGAGAATAAGGAATTTCTTCTGTATTCATTTGTATGAATTTATCACAAAAAATATTTCAAACTTTCAATCATTTGCTCAGAGATAACGTTCATCGTCATTTCATATTCCATTTTATGGAGTCGACACTTCTTTTCTGTGTTTCTTGGTGTTTTCTTGTGGAATCGTCAATTCGTTTTTGTGGATATGTATTACTATCTTATGTACAACCACATCACAAATAAAGTGATTAAGCTAATGAATGTCGAGGCAATCACTATAATTTGCACTCCAGATGACTTGACGGCCTTTGTTCTTCGACACTCCAGAAATAATGGAGAGAAATCCACAATTTTTCAATTGCGTGTATCGCTATTTTTGTGGAATCACATCACAAAATAAAAAATTGTACTTCCGAATGTCAATGCTGAATTGTTATTCGGAGTCATTCTAATTTGTGCTATAGATATTGAAACTTTGTGTTGAAAATAAACGAAAACACATTTTTAGTCCTTCAGAGCTGAAAACCTGATATCATCACATGTCCAATGCAATTTTTGTACAACTGCCTTACAGAAACTCTTAACATCATTTAAATTTTTTGTCTAGATCGAAAAACCTCACGTTGAACTTGAAGTAAATCTTTTTTAAGCCCTCCAGAAGCGCTGAAATTGAATTTTACATTGGTGTTTCGCGTAACCACTAGTGACAAAAGAAATTTTCATATACTTTTTGTACAACTCGTACAATTGTTTTTTATTTTGCTTTACTGGGGTGGAAAATATTAGTAGTCACGTGATACAAATTTTCCAAAAAATTACCAAAATAGAGTTATTTTTCTATATATTGAAAAATGCCATTCGGAAAAACCTTTTTCGAGTGACTATTATTTTAGCCTATATGGAGAAATTCAGCTGCATTTTAATGAAATGTTTTATTTCAGACACATTTTATTTGAAGTAGCACCGTATTGAATACATGTTTTTCTGAACCCAAATGAGGTTATTGAAATTTGGTCACAGGGTAACCTCATGAAGATAACTTCATTATCGAATTTCAAATAGGGCAATCAACAGATAAAACCTAATATGCTGTGTAGTGCACTCCTCACATTGTGCGCATATTTCACCCGATGGAAAACAGTTTGAAAGAATGAGAGAATGAATAGTTTTCGATTGTTCAATCATAGTAATGGCGAAAGAAAAAAAACAAAGAGGAATAAAAATACTCAAAAATATACTCTTTCGTTACTTCTCAGTGTAATCCATGTTGTATCAAAATTGACGACTTGATTCGGAAAGCTGATTAAAGAATCAAGATTCTGCTTCACCCCCCCCTCCCGCCACCAAAACCCTGATATCTATCAACACAATAATCGTTCCAAAAAGTTTGTACGCAGTCTGCATCACTATACTTCCGTGCTATGAGTCTGTATCCTCACTTTTTTCATGCTGCCGTTTCGGCCCATCGTGGGCGATGTTCCGGAATATCCGGGATTCTGAATGCCCAGCCCGTCCTTGGGCTTCGGCTTCTTCAAGCTCGACCGCAACGGCGAACGAGTGATCGAAGATGTCACGGTTGACCCATTGGTTGATCCTACGGTCGTGGAAGTAGTGTTCATGGAAGCCATACTACCGTTGGAGGCCATCGTGTACGGTTTTCCGCTGGCATCCGTCATGGAGATGCCTCCACCTGCAATATCAAAATAATTGTTATTTGAATAGCAAGCTGGGGAAAATAGTGAGCTGGACCACTCTTCAGTATTGTGAATTTTGTTGAAATTTGGTAAATGACAACCAATATTCAATCTATAGGGCATTCCATCGAAAACTCAACTCCCCAGGAGATCAGAGACGGTGGAATGTTCAAAAGTCACAAAAAATAGATACAACAACGATAAGAACAAAATAACCAAATAGTGGACTTCACTTTACAATACATACAATAATTCAGCTTATTTCCTAAACCTTGCCTCACAGCAATAATAATAATAATTATTATTATAACTCTTATCTTTCTTTTACCGAAGTATGCGCTAGTCAGGCCCTATCCCCCGAAGCCCAGATATATTTGGGAAGGCGCGCTAGCATTATCAACCAACAAACACTCCCCACACCGTGGGGTAAGTGATCATTGGGTCCGAGAATCATGTGCTCTGAGCAAGCGCAGTGAGCCAAGAGTGTCAGCCTTCGGCATCTGTCTGCGTCTGCCTTAGTGCGGTAAGCCAGTATGAATTTAAGATTCGAGAGTAGAGAAGGCATCATTCCACCAAGGACTCCAATAATCAGAACAACCATCTTGAAAGAGTGATCTGGATAGAGTCTGCGGAGTTCGAAGAGAAAATCTCGATATTTTATCCGTTTTTCCTCCTCTTTTCTGACGATATTCGTCTCGCCAGGAGCTGAAAACTCCACGACAAATATCGTTTTGCTCTGGTGATCGAGAAGGACTACATCAGGCTTATTAGCTTGTATGAGCCTGAGGGTGGGGGACTAATACCTCCAATAAATTTGGCACTCTCGTTCCCCACAACGGATTCAATATTCCCCGGAGCGTAGGGCAACACCTGTGTCTCGTCAATACCGTAAGAGTGCCGTAGATGGTAATATAGCACTCTTAAGGCCGCGTTATGTCGATGGATATACGCCAAGACCGCATATGCTGGACATGCTGATAGCAAGTGCATTAGGGTCCTGCACCTTGTGTCAGGAACCTCTATACCCATCACGCGACTACGGTAGACTAAGGTGTTGAAGAGGTAGACTAAGGTNTTTTGTCCTTACTCAAATGATGCCCTCTTTACTTTTGAATTTCAAGATTATGTCAGCCTGCAGTACTAAGACAAAAATCTTGGCCGGACAATAATTGCAAGAGGGTCATCATTGATTCATTGCATCTGCTCAGGGCACATGATTTTCGGACCCAATGATCACTCACTTCACGGTGTGGGAAGTGATCATTGGTTAATAATGATGACGTGCCCTTCCAAATGTATCAAGACTTTGGAGGTAGAGCTCGACCATCACAACCTTCAGAAACTGATGATAATAGCAATATTTATTCACTTCAAAAATACAAAAAATCAACAATGACAAATATGAAGGAATATACACAGGTAGAAAGTAATATTGGATAGAACGAAATAGACAAACAAACATAGAAATAAGGAAAGCTGCACCTTCAACACTTCAAGTTACACACATAGAATTCAATTTATTCTTTTCAGACAATTTCAATAAAACAAAAAAAAATTCAATGAAAACAACCCTATTGAATTTCATCTGAATTCAAATAGGAAGAGCTATAATACATTTTTTGTCCAATTGTTTTCCATTTATCGAAGTCTCTAATAATCATATTCGAATTTTGGATTCGAAACGAAAATTAAAATTCAGCTGTTCAAAATGACAGGGTATAGCATTATACATTTTTATAACAAGATAAGTGTGACTGCGTTGTCCAATGGTCTTAGACTTTCTTGAAATGCGTTCATACGATGATCCACCAATTTTTTTGTCTTATTCGCTTATTTGCGGTGATGAATAATCAGAGCAAATTAAAAGATTTTCTTGATATCCGTTAGTTCAGATTCGTTATAAAGGTTATTGTTTGGGTGTTTGGTTTACTCAATACGATTTTGATAATCCATTTCAGAATGGTTTTTACCCCATCCTAAATGATTATACCATATAACAGATGAGTCTGAAATGAGCCATTGTATATCATTTTCAGGTGTATGATTGAAGAGAAGTTTTTCAAAGTATTTGAATTTGCTTGTCATTTTTTTGTTATATCGTTGGTGTGTTTATTCCACTTCACATCTCCGACAACGCAAACAATAACTATTTTATCATTCGTTTTCACGTTTTTAAATAGCATCCAAAGGATGCTATTTAATAGTATGTGTTTTGTTGTTCTTGACGCGTATACATTAGTGTAACTGAGCTCAGGAAATTTAACCAACCGAAGAAAAAATTGATCATGCTCTGACAGCAGCACCCTGATGTAGGTCAATCTTGAAGAATTACACTGATATGTCTTAATACCCACCATTTGACCTTGGATCCCTGAAACCTGGATTTCCGTATGTAGTTGCTTCTGCTGGTACTGAAACCGTTGTAGGATCGCCTCCCTCTCGCCTGGCGAAAAACATATCGTAGAGAGCCATGACGAAAAGCGCTGAATTCAGTACTATCAATAGTATCTGAAAATAGTAATCGTTAAAAAATATCTTGTGAAAATCATTTATATAGTGGTGTGTTTGAGATATGATGTCAGGTATTCCATGCATTAATTCATAAACAATATAAAACGTCAGGAATATATGAGTTGACTTGAGGTTCTTGCCAATGAATCTATATTGGCCAAACGGTGAGAACCTTTTCCCAAAGGATAAAGAACATAAAAGCAGTTCATTGAATGTCAAGAATAATTCCACACTTACAAATCATATTTTGGCAGAGAGACATGAGTTCAATCACATCTATGACGTGTTACATCCAGAAGAATGTTTTGGAATGCTTGGAAATCAAGACATTTGAGAATTCGTTATATTTAATGAAAAAATGTATTTGAATAATTATCCTTCAATGAATCTATTTTTCAATGTGGAAATTAGTAATTAGTTGACACATACAATCAGGTAATTTCATTTCATTATATGTTCATTTGAATAAGTTTCTTTGTAAATTTGCCATCATGTAGGTAGAAAGTCATACTCTTATAATTCAAATTGGTAATTCATATAAAGCACTAAGGAGGTAGAATTCAGTGATAAAGAACACGCGTAGAAAAGTTATTGCATAGTGAAACACACGTGGTGTGGTTTTGTGAAATGTTCAATGGAAATCTCATAATTATTCAGTGTTACCTGAATACTTTATGGATTATCATCAAGAATCGGTCTGTCTATCCCATCACATGTTTAAAGAAAAACATTTTTTTTATTCTGTACCTCAATTTCAGATGACATATAAGAGAGTGAACAAACATTATAAAGTGTTTTGCTTCGGTAACCCACATATGCTTTTTTCAGACACTACAGGACCCAAATGTATGATTCCCATCACCAATATTTCTGTACACTGCGTTCCACATCTGTTCTATACAAGTTTTCCAAGGTCAGCAATTGGCAAAATCTAACCGTTCTCTCTCGCAGCTTTTGGGGATTTGCAGAAGTGGCAGCGAAAACTTACCTTAGGCCCCCGACAAAAAAATGTAACGAAGAGAGATCAGGATCATCAGTTATTGATGACTATCCCACTAGATCTCTTTCCTGATTCACTGCATAGAAAAGTCCACAAATAATTTGAAACAAACATCGAGATATGCTGTTTACACTATCTTCTTGTATCTCTGAGAATTGAAATAAACGCCATTCCAGCAATATCAATTGTGCCAGATTACTTCAATGTTTAACATCAATGTGAAATCTAGAAGTATGAAATATTTCAGTTAACGTGAAAAACTGAGACTGAGACACCGCTAAATTTTAAGGTTTGAGTGAGATTGAAGGAGACATTAATCGATAATCGTGTTCATAAAGTTGTTTGTTGTCAATTTCTTTCGATAAGAGTGTAACGAAGTTCCGTACGCGAAGTTCGCGTACGGAACTCATTTTTCTAGGAGCAGTTCATCGCTTTTTCTATTACAAGTCTAGCGTTTCGAACCGAATGATTGTATCTCGGTTATTTATTGATATAAAAATGTCGTTCTTGCTGAAAACTATTCAGGAGAATGCCGGAAATTCGGTACGTTCATTAGTTCCGTTTCGCGAATGATGAAAAGCTCCTGGGTAATTTCTATCGATCCCGACCGTTATCCACAGCCCCCGCGATAGTGTAGCGATGACGTATTACATTTGACGCGATTCGATATGCCTTCGCAAGACAGTGGAAATGTGGGTTCTAGTCCGACTGCCCAGCTGAACCACCAAGCCAATCGAGCCACACCGAGGACCGCCAACTGGACTCAGAGGAAGCGAGGGTGAACAAGCTGACTGCAGTCTGGGCAGACCGAGCGAGCAGATAGAGGGGAGTTTCAAATCATGAAAGCTAGGAAACATACCTGTCCTCCGCTATCCGAGTTCGAGTTCGCGTCGGGAGCGTGTCTAGTCATTCACTAGTATCTTCACTCGACTTCTCTTTCAGACCCGGTATTCGCCATTTGGATCATCTGTTCAAATCTTCACTCCACTCCGCGTTTCCGGCCCTGTGTAGTATTCGCTACTTGGACTGATTTGTATTCACGCTTCTCCTACGTTTTGCAACCATTTGTGGTATTCGCCAGCTGGATCATCTATTCGAATATTCTCTCCGCGTTTCTCACCCTTTGTGGTATTCGCCACTTGGACCAACTGTTCGAAGCTTTTCTCCTCGTTTCCTGTGGCATTCGCCACTTGGAGTATCATTTTTTCATGCGTCTTCTCTTAGATTTTCAGAACCTTTGTGGTATTCGCTAGTTGGATCATCTATTCGTAACCGCTCGCTGCGTTTCCGGCCCTTTGTGACATTCGCTACTGGGGCTACCTTGTCTTCACGCGTCTCCTACGTTTTTCGACCCTTCGTAGTAATTGCCACTTGGATCATCTGTTCAATTTTTCTCTCCTCGTTTCTGGCCCTTTGTGGTATTCCTCATTTGGGCTACCTTTTCTTCACGCGCCTCTTCCTACGATTTCCGCCCATTCGTCCCTGTAATTAGTTAGCTCCATAATAATAGAGTTGGTTTGGTTCAAGTGAAGAGTTGAAACTGATTAGTTTTTCCATTTCTTGTAATAGTGAAATATCTTTGCAGCTGGTAAACAGGATGCATTCCCAGCAGTGTGGAGTAAAACTGACTTTCTGGCTACCGATTTTGTCTAGTTCACACAGACCCCTATATTATGATTTGTTCACTGTAGCTGCCCGGTGTAGTGGTGTCTTGTACCACTTGAAATTCACGAGGCTGGCGTCCAAGATCACACCGTTACCGTCTAAGTTCGTCGAATACACTGAGTTTACGCAACTAAAAGCGTTACGAGAGGAACGGGAGGACATGTATTTTTTTATTCTCGATAACAAAGGAAGCAATTGTGAAAAAATAAATGAAGTAATAGAAGAATAGAATTTTGACGTCGAATGGTGTAAATTTGTTGAAACATGACTGGAAATTATTTAGAGATTACTATGATGGTAATTGGCATCTGGCATCTCGATACCTTCATATGCATGGCATATAATATGAAGAAGGCAAAAAATATTTTTTCATAACAGTTGGAATCGCTGACACATGAGCCAAAAAAATGTGAAAAATTCCATTCAGACTCGACACTGCACATCGAATTCCAGGGAGGCTCCCATCAACAACTTCTTCACTAGCAGCAACACTTCCTCTCACAAAAATTACAAAATAGACACTTCATTAGATGCCTTTCGATATGATCGAATTGAGCCCATTCATATTGAATCGAATTAGACTTCATATCAAACAAGAATGAAATGTCGTATGATTCACGGGAGACAAAAAACTATTTGAATTTTGTTGATTGTATTTTCCTCATCATTTTAATATTCTTTAGCAAGTATAATAAAGAACACCCATTTTTAGTATATATTTGAAAAATTCCAATTGTGACATTAAATTGGACTCGAAAGGGTTAAATTTTGCTTATTTGAAAATATTAATGTCAACATTCATAAAATATGGAAATATTGATTAATATCGACATTTTTTCTCGGTTACTAGAAGTAAAATTGTGTGAAATTTTTATGAAATACACGAAATCAGATGATTCGAATCGTAGAAAATTCTAAAGAGTTCTTGTGAGGTTTATTCAAGAGAAATAACATTTTGTATAATAACCTTTGATTGGATTTCCTTCCTGAAAAGATTGTACATATTTCTAAGAAAGAGTGTTTGAAAGGAAATGAAACCCACCATCAATCAGTTTCTGACTTTCAGCTTTCGAAATTGAAGTATTGAAGGAGTTGCTACATTATCCGTTTTTCATCAAAGACGCTTATACTCTGCAACAAAAGACCTATTTGCGCAACTAATGGCTGAACTAAGTTTCAATCACCAGCGATATTAATTTTCTTTCAAGTAAGTTGCTATTATATACCGGAGTGTAATCAATTTTTCATTATGGAGAGTTGAGGCGCTTAAAAGGCAAGGTATTTGTTGGTAGAGAGAAAATTAGTTTTTCGCAAAGTCTTACTCGAATAATAATAATAATGATAATAATAATGATGATGATGATGATAACGATAACTAACTCTATTCAGTCTTTGACACTGAACGAGGTGATCACAACTTTGTCACCGAGTTGAAACCCGTCCAGCAAAATGCACACATAAAAGCAGCAGAGATCACTTCACTCCTGCGGCAACACAAAAAGTATAAGCCAATGCATCATGGCCTGCCTGGATGATATCTTCAACACCTTAGTCTACCACAGTCGCGTGACGGGTATAGAGGTTCATGACACAAGGTGCAGGCACAGTAAAAATCAACGAGTAAGTCCAGTTTCACTACTTTCATTCATAAATTTACAAATTTCTCGATGACTTCGATATGAAGTGCGGAGCCAATTTCGTTTTATTACCATAGGCAGGCGCTCATATAAAATCGAAATTTGAGATATTATAGAAGATTCCGTGGTAAGTTACGTATAACCAACTACAAAATCAAAAAAAAAATAATTACAGCGAATAAACTAAACACAATATCAATTTTCAACCGTTTATTATAACTAATCCGATGCCCGTGATACCATCGAATCCTTCGATACTACAGCAATGAACGCGTTGGATGAGAATCTCATCCTAAGAGCGGTTAAAGGTCCCCGGCAACTCGGGCGGATCACGTGGTAAGAGAGCCTACTGGTTGTATTATTCTACTATGGTGCCGGACCTGCCACAAGGCGTCCAAGACCCTAATGCACTTCATGTCAGCATGTACAGCATATGCGGTCTCGGCCTATATCCATAGATATAACGTGCTTTATTACCACCTACGGTACTGTTACGGTAGTGAAAAGACACCGATGTTGCCCTACGCTCAGGGGGATATTGAATCCGTTATGGACGGCAATGAGTGACGAATTCTTTGGACCTATTCATTTCCCAGCCTCAAGCTCATGCAAGCTGAGAAGTCTAATATAGTTCTCCACGACCATCAAATCAAGACGATATCTGTTGTGTAGTTTTTAGCTCCTGGCGAGACGAA